TCAAATTGGACATTGTGCCTTGGATCCTAGGGCCTGTGGTTATTGGTCCAATAAAGATAAAACCATTGTGATTGAAAGTGAACATTAGTCTTCACAATCAATTGATCCACTCAAACTCTTTTGAGAACATATCGAGGAAAAGGTCAATGTATGTCGAAAGAATAACCGTGACATATACATCGAGTTCAGTAGCTAAAATTGTATCAGTTCAGCCATATAACCCTACTGAAATTGCCTTGACCTAGCCCTAGAATAGGCCAAGGGAGCATCTATGAGACGAATACTAGATTCAATGGTCGAACCAACAACTTCAACTATTGATTCTCTCTGGAGTCCTTCATCTTGTTCTTCATAGATATCAACCACCAAATTATCAATAACAATAGCAACCTATCAAAGACAGAAACACTAATTCCATCGAAAGGTTCCTCATCAAAGATTGGATCAACCATGAAATCACGACAATCATCAAGTGCTCAGGAAAGAAATTCCCTTTTATTTTCAAGAACTTCTTGGTAATCAAAATCACTTTCTACGATAGTTAACCAATCAATAAAGTTTATGGGTTGAGGCTTACCATCAAAATAGAGAATATCAACTTTCACATTGAAAACTCTAACGTGATGTTCTCCATACTTTCGTCGCTATCCTCCTCACTTGACTCCACATGCAGAGCAGGGCGGTGAAAAGGGTTGTGTTCGACATCCGCATGGGCAGAAATATCCCCATCTTGCCCAAGCTGTCATGTAAGTTGTTGAACCTGCCTCTTGAGGTCTTCAATCACCACATCTATGAGATCACGGGTCAGATCCATGAACCCCCCCTTCATCGTCTCTTGCATGTTGCCATGGGTTCACCAAAATTACTAACTCTAGGCAAATAATCAACGAACCCTAAACTGAATTCAACAAGTTCTAAGCTCAATTTAGCAAAACCTAGGCTGAGATAAGTCAAAATTTTGGTTGAAATCAACAAAAACCTAGCGTTGGATGTAGTTCCCTGGCCTTCTTGTTGAAGAAACCTCTGTTCTAATGCCAACTAATGTAGAGATTTGACAAAGAAAACAAAAAATTAAAAAATTTCCGAGCGAAGCACAAGCATTAATTAAAGAGAAACATGATTTCCTCCTCAAAACCCTAACTAGGGAGCAAAAGCTTCCTTTACGTTTTTCCACTTTTCAAAGTCCTGTGAATTGCCTTACAACCCTCTTCCAATAGCTATTTATAATAAATATCTTAGTTAGACCCCAAGAAATCTTAACTCTAATTGAAATTGATGCCCTAATTATAATAAAATTTGTAATGACATTTTTACCCCTAATAAAATATATAATTTCACAAGTACTATTAAATGCTTCTCCAAACAGCTCCTAAAAATCATAAAAAAATTAAAAGACCCTAAAATAAATAAATAAATAAATAAATAAAATCCTCATAAAAGCCAGAAAAATAAAAATGAAAATCCCCCAAAAATTCATCCTTGAGTTTTAATTGAAAAAACTAAACAATACAAGGCATTACCTCTTGCATCACTAATTTATTCAAAATTAGTTTATTCAGTTGGTTTTTTTTTTAGGAAAGTTGACAATAATTGTATTAATATATAATAAAATGTACATACAATGAGGCCTTCTGAGAAAGCACCCTTTCCAGCCACAAAGGGTTCAAAGAACGATACAAAAGAAGGATTACAATTCCAAGGAGATAGGTGGGAGTCCATAAAATCTAAAGCCCCACCGGGGTGTTAGAATAGGCTCCCTCTCTAGCAAGACGATCGACATCAGAGTTGGCTTCCTGAAAAACATCACACCATGAGATTGAGATACCCCAAGACGACTGGATATCTCATCAAAGATGTCGTCTAAATGCCAGATTACGTTCTTGGAGTCCCCTTCCACCTCCAAGTTGGGACCCCAAGTGTTGTCGAGTCTTTGGAGGCTTTCCAATAAGGCAAGGGCTTCAGCTAGAGTTGAATCCGCTAGGCCAATAGGGCAGGAATAAGCTAGCAAGGTCTGTCCCTCAGTGGAACGTAAAAGGCCACCTAGTCCAAACAGGCCAGGGTTGCCAAGGGAGCAGCCATCAAAGTTAAGCTTGATGTAGCCTACCTTAGATGGTCTCCAAAGAGATGCCCGGACATCAAGCTTAACTCTGATGGCTGCTCCCTTCGTAACCTTGGCCCATCCGGAGTTGTTTATTCGGTCAGTTGTTAGTCAACAACATTATAGACGAGGTTATTGTTATATTTTATTTGGTTAGACATTAAATTATTTCCCTTTTCTAAACAATAATGCAAGACACTCCCGTTTCCCCCTAAAAAGTCAAAACCAGAACCACACTCTAAATTTCCCCTCGATTACCTGTCACATGAACGTAGGCACAAGCTCCAAAAAACTGGCCTTCTCCGTGGATGCATCTTTCCGCCTCCCCTCCTATTTTGTTCTCTCTCTAATCATCCACTTTCCCCTGCTTCTCCTCTTTGACTGTTTTCTCTCTAAACCACCACTTCCCCTCTCAAAACCATCAAAATCTAGCTACTCCTTGAAGCCATCTGAAAACTTCTCAAAGGAAACCATCATCAGCATGGGCTGGCTTTAATAGTCATTCTAGTTTTGCTACTAGTTCGGTGACTCCTTCAGTCTCGATTTCAATGGTTGGTAAGACTGAAGTCTGTAAATGGTGTATCATGAATAGAGAGAAGTTTTGATCCGACTGGGGAAGGGTTTTGATGAGGTTACAGAGAAAGAAAGTAGTTTTTATGGGGCAGAAGGGGTATCATGAGGAGAGAGAGAGAGAGAGGGGTTTTGATGGGGCTCTGTGAGAGAGTGGTTCCTAGGGCAAGTCATTTAGATGGGGCTGATAGTAGAAAGAGGAATTCTAGTGGTTTTGGTTTTGGTTTTGGTTTTGGTTTTGGTTTTGCTACTGCTTTTGGTGACTCCCTCTTTCTCTCTTTAGGTGGATTTTGTGAGTATAAAAGAACTGAGAAAGGGTTTTATGGTTACAAGAAACTTACTGGGGGTTGGGACTGAAGATCTGTAGAGGGGTTACCATTAAGAGAGAGAGAGAGAGAAGAAGAAGAACAGAGTTATTTTTTTTTTGTTTTTGTTAGTATTTTTTTTTTGGTAGGATAGGAGGGGGGGGGGGTGATTCATGGTGCTGAGTGAGAGAGTGGTTTTGATGGGGCTAAGGAGAAAGAGGTTTTGATGGGGGCAGACTTGGTACCATGAAGAGAGAGAGAGAGAGAGAGAGAGGGTCTTGATGGTGCTGTGAGAGAGAATGGTTTTGATAGGGCTGAGAGAGTGGTTCTGATGGGGCAGAGGGAGTTCCATGAAGAGAGAAAGCGTGGGGTGTAATGATGAAAATTGAGAGAGAGAGAAAGAAAGTGAGGGGCTTTAATGATACCAAGTGAGCGAGTGATTTTGATGGGCTGAGGGGAGAGGGTGGTTTCAATGGGGCTGAAGATTTGCGGCATATAGGATACCCAAAAAGTTATTCTGTATAAAGTAGAAACAAGTCTTTAGAGATTGATATTTGTACGAGAATCTAACTATGAATCCATCGTCAATAAGTTTGTAAGATATGTCACAAACAATTTAACATATCTTTATCTAAAGATTGAATGGCTCGTGACAACAAGGGCATCCAAACAGGCCCTAAAATAAATAGCCTCTCAAGAGATCAAACACACCATGAGTTAATAATATCCCTTATGCTGTTACCCAACCCCTGTCACATGATCGGAGATACTAGTATATCCAGAGAAACCCAACTTGCTTTTAAATTATAAATTGAAAGTTCAGCTCCAAATATCCATGAAAAAGGCACCTAAAACAATATTAAACCTTTAAGGAAAGGGCAACTACAGCATATCAATGGAACACTTTGTATGAATTTTCCTACTTCAACATCCTGGAAAGGGTGCTGTCACTCAATGGTGTGCTTCTGATGTAGAAGAGGATTTGCTAGTCGCAAGGTAAGAATTTGGAACACACTGAAAATATCTAAAGGCTATTCTGATCCGAAATGTGTGGTGTGTGGTGTGTTTGAAAAGGCAACGCTTCTTGTTGGCTAGCAAGGGATCATCAAAGACAGGGTGACAACAATCTTCTCTTATGTGAGGCTCTTGATGAGAAGGGAAATGAGGTAGTGGAAGTTCCATCAGAGGATGAGGTTCTGACAAAATACTTTTCCTCCACCAATATTAATAAAGGGCCCTTGTTATCGGCTCAAAAATCTGGGGCTGGCACCCAGTGGAATGTTTTGAGAGAACATGGGACCTTCCGCACACAATTAACGCCACAGAGATCTTCATATTCAAAGGATCCAATGATCCGGTAAAGATTGCCCTCGGGAGCCATTGCACAAACGTTGGGAATGGGAGTCACTCAATGGTCCCTACACCGCATCCTTAGTCACATCCAGGAAATTGCTCGGTGTACCCTTGTGCTATTTCCTGTAGTACGTCTACAAGGTCCCCCTCTAAAATGCGCAAGAGTACTGTCCCATCCATAGCATAAAAAACTTGAGTAGCCAAGGAGAATGAAAAGGCATGTACGATTAGTTCTTGCAATACACCAAACCTTTCCCTACTCCTACATACCAAAGCACTTGTAGAGATGACGAGGTGAAACCAGAAAATGAAAATGATTTAAAATATTGAAACAACAAATGCAACTGAGAGCATTTGCAAGCTCTTTAAAGTTAAACAGCAGTCATTGCGCAGTATGATCATAGATTATAATAAGAAATAAATCAAATTTATTGATTTATTATTTTAAAATAGGCAGTACTTAGCTTTTTAAAAGAGAATAGTTAAATAAAGATGATGCATTATTCCCTGGATATTATCAACAGACATACAAAGCCACATTTCTTGAAAGAAGATAGTTAAAATTGTATCCAGCAGTACCAAAGGTGAGTTGCAACTGTCCACAAGCATAAGCAAATATGATCAAGAAATAGCATAATCCAATGAAATACATAAAATTAACTGAAACCACTTACTTGATGTAAAAGTCAATGATGGTATCGTTGACAAATACCTCAGGTTGTAACAATTCAACATCTCTCTTACCAATAGATACCGCATCAGGATCCCCTTTAGGATAAACTAGATCTTCAAAAGGCTCATTGCACCTACAAATTTAAAAGATGTTAAAACATACGAAGGAATCAGAAACATAAATAGAAACCTACCATATGCGATGCACAACCAACAAGAAATCACAAGTCCATTGACCTAATTTCTATGCTTAGAGGTATTCCAAGCATAAGGTTGTTTACATAATTTGAGTGGCAATACAAGAAAGGAAAGAATTTGCAATGAATAATTAGGGGTAGCTCTAATAGGTGATAAGATGTATGAACATGTGCAGCATCAACCACCACTTAGGAATGGCGATTTGGTTTAAGTGGAAGGCTCTAAAAGGGAAAAAGGAAGACCCAAAAGGCCATTGATGAAAGTAGTGAAAAGAGGTATGATGACCTATGGTCTGACTGAGGGTATGGCCCTTTATAGAGCAGAATGGTGTAATAGAATTTATGTAACTGACCCCAAATAGTTGGGATAAAAGTTTGGATGATGATGATGATGAAGCTTGCTTACATAATTTGTATAATGTAGGGATAAAAAATCAATAAATAACAAATAAAAGTAACTGGCAACTCTAAATGCTTGAAGTGGGAAATCAGGAACCATGAAGAAGGCTACGTTTCAAAAGTCATCAGCATATCAAGAAAAAAATTAAAAGAAACAAAATCTCAATCCAAAGGAGTAAAACAACAATCAACATGAGTTATTCAAAGGACACCCTTTAAAAAAAAAAAAAAAGGCAATGCCAAGAGGCATGACGAAAACTCTTATCCACCAACCAAATTGCCACTAGCTCTGCTTGATTAGGAAACTTTAATTTTTGAAGAGCTACCAACTAATATAAGTACTTGGACCTCATTTGATCCTTATTGATAAAGACAAGGGGGCAACAGCTCTGCTCCTCCATGGATCTCTATGCCCAAGAATGGGCAAATAGCAAGGGTTGATAGGGGCCTCTGCTGTAAGAAGCCATTACTACCATCTCTCCCCCCAGGTCGGGGCACAGAGTGTAGCCTGATGGCTCCCTCCCAAATCATAAAGTGGGTTCACGAAAGAGGCCAAATGGTCGCTTTCATTCCATGGAAAAGGTACTTCCTGAAGGAAGCCTTGTGTTGAAGTATATGCCTTCCAAAGTGAAAGAGGACACATTACCCGTCATAATTTCTGAAAGGAACAGGCTCCAAATATCTTCTATGATAATCAATGAGCTCTAGAAATCCATCATGCAAAGGGAGAACAAATGGAGGTGTGATTATTAAATTCCTCTTAATGACTCCTATTTCCATCTAATTTCCCTAAAATCTCTCCCGACAAGAATTACTACTTTAAAATTCTTAAATTTCCTAAATCACCTCAATAAAAAGAATATGGAAAACAAGACTCCTACCTCTAAGCATTTGCCAAAACATCTTTCCCATGACATTATTGGCCCCAATCGCTCTCACCTTAAAAAAAGGAAGATATTATATTGCTATCTCAATTGTCTTGATTGTGTAGTTCTTAATTGATTGGCCAAAGGGATAATAACGAACTAACCTTAAAACCCATCTCATTGTGATGCAGGAGAATTTGAGGAAATAATAAGATTAGCAAGGAACAAGCCAAACACAAGCACAAGTCAAAGAAACCTATGGTTCCTTCTCCATACCCCAAGCTAGGGTTCCAAAAGCCTAAGCTTTTCTCTCTTTCAATTTCCAAAAATCATGTGGAATGACCCTCTCAAGGCCCTACACATCTTTTATATGTTATAATTCAATGTTTCAAGTACAAAAAGTGCCCAAACAAATAATACATTGACGTATATATCCCAACTTAAACTTAAAATTCAAGAGTAAACAAAGAATATAAAACCCTAGAGTCCGTAGAAAACTAAAAAAATAAACCCTAGAATCCTTAGAAAACTAAAAAAAAAACTACCCTCATTGCACTTGGAGGGTGGGTCACCTTAGCACCTTCCCAAGCGGGAGAACGCACATCATAATAAACCCTTAAACTAAAACTATAATATATATCCTTTGGAATTAAATAAAATTAAAAAATAAGAATAATATTTTGCTCCATCATTCTCCCCTGGTTGGAGAAAACTCATCATCGAGTTTTGAAGTGTGCTAAGATGAATTCACCATCAAAACCGCCTTCTTCAACCTTCTTTTTCTTCGTCAGCTCAAATATTATTTGTGGTAAGAAGAATTCCTCAAGAAACGGATCTTGATATGTATATTGAGGAATCTATGTAAATTTATCAAATACGGCTCTACTTGAACTCCTATTGAAAATCATGTAGGAAACTTCAAACTCAATTTTCTGGTCTTTAGAGCTTTTCTCAATATCCCTTTCCTTACTTTCTATAATCAGGGTCACAATTTGCAGTCTATGAGTTGACCACGTTTCATATGCCCTTCTCTGATTCCAACACCCTAAATTTTTCAAATGCTCTCTCTTTGATATTAATGAGATCTTCAAAGGCCATGATTTGGATTAGTCCTCTTGTTGCCTTCTCTCCATATTCTGTACCCTCTCCCAAAATATCTTCATCATCATCTTGATCCTTATCATAAACCGGATCTCCTAAGAGATCTTGTTGTTCATCAGAGTATGTATCAAAGAATGGTGGTGAATCCCAATCTATAACTTAATGATTTTCGATGCAATCTGTATCAAAATCAATAATCTCATCCTTCAAATAAAAAAGCCTAGAGTTAGATTCCCAATGTCTAGGGTTTTTATCACTATCCTTAACACTTGACTCCCCACGCAGAACGCAACATTGAAAAGAACATTCGAGATCCTCTTGGGCTGCAAGATTATCGTCTAGCCCATTATTGAGGCTCGTGAACTGCTGTGTCAGCTGTTGAGCTTGCCTTTCAAGTTCCTCAGTTATGTCATCTCTAGGATCACAGAGCGGATCCATGAAAATCCCCCTTCTAACCACTTCTCGCTGCAATGAGTTCACCAAAATCACAAAACCTCAGCAAATAATCATAAAAAAAATAAAAAATAAAAAATAAAAAACTGCTGAAATCAGCAATACGTTGTTTTGGCAAAATTTTGACAAATATCAGCAAACCCTAGATCCCATTGTAGCTTCCCCTCTTAGGTTATCAAAACTTGATGCTACAGTATTGTTCGTACCTGCCACATTACGTTTTGTACACTGCTGCAGCACTCTCGTGCAGATAACGGCTTTGATACCAATCTAATGCAGAAGAATTTGAGGCAACCAAAAAATAAACAAAGAACAAGCCAAATACAAGTACAAGTAGAAGAAACCTATCCATACCCCAAGCTAGGGTTCCAAAAGCCTAAGCTTTCAATTTCTAAAAATTATATGGAATGACCCTCTCAAGGCCCCATAATCTCTTATATATTATAATTTAACGTTTCAATTACAAAAGTGTCCAAACAAATAATACATTGACCTTATATATTCCTAACTTAAACTTAAAATTCGGAATGACAGTTGTACCCCATAAACAGTACCCATGAACAGTACTCGTGAACACTACTTGTGAGTAGTACTCATGAAGTAAACAAAAAATTATAAAACCCTAGAATCCTTAAAAAATTAAAATTATAATATACATCGTTTAAAATTGAATTAAAAAAAAAAGGATTAATTTTGGCCTCCATCATATTGATTATTAATTAAAGAAAAAAGGGAGAAATAAGAGGGATGATATTTAACTTACAAAAAAATTAAATGAGAAACAAAAAAATGAAAAAAGATTA